GTCATATACACCAACAGCAAACATACAGTGAAATAATCTCATGCATGATAGCGTCAAAACCAGCATTCCACATCCCATGTAGTGATTCTTTAGTCTGAGGGTAAATGATTATTCTCCACAACACTCAAGACACTGTTGCAGTGGTGGGCATTTCTCACTTTCCAAATGGTTTCTGTGGGCATGGTTATTCTTGTTAATCCTATCTAACCCCAAACCTTCATCTCCTCAGTGTCCTGCCTCCCTACTTACTTCTATCTTTCCACCCACAATATTTCTCCTCTTTACTTCCTTTTTATATGTGTTCTACATTGACCTCCCTTAGGCTAACTCCTTCCCACATATCCCCCTCCCTGTTTCTTGGCTTCCACGTGTACTCCATGTTAGACACACTACACTGAAGATTTTAAGCTAGGGTCCTCATAAGAGAGAAAACGTGAAACATTTGTGCTTTGGGGACTGGGTTAACTCACTTGGAACAACACTTTTTCAACCCCGCCCATTTCCTGCTTCATTCATAATTTCAGCTCTTATTAAATCCGATTAATATTTCATTGTGTGTATGGAACACAGATTCTTTATTCATTCATCAGTTCTTGAACATCTAGGTTAACTCCATTCCCTAGCTATTACAGAGTAGCAATAAACATAGATGCTCAAGTGTCTATTTGGTTGAGGGCAGAGTCTTCTGGAATATGCTTGGAGTGCTGTAGCTGGGAAGTATGGTAGTTTGATTTGTTTTTGTTTTTGTTTTTTTTTAAATAGAAACCTCCAGAGTGATTTCAAAAGTGGTTGCATTACTGTATACTTTCACCAGCAGTGTACAGTACTTCCCATTCAATGGACAGGAGGCCTCAGTTTTAGCTAAGGAACTATCGGCAGTTGATCCCGGCTAGGTGAGTAAGAGTTGATCTTCTCTAAGGCAAAAAGGGATTGTTGCAAGTTAGGCTAAACACGCTCCAGTGGATGTACTCATACCAAGAGACAGCTGGTACACAAACTTGACTCGATGGGCTTTAATATGTAAGACAATGCATGAAATCCTGTGGGAGGGCTATATATGATTAAATGTAGTATATGAAATCCCCACAAATTTTATATATAGTGTAAAAATATATATTGTAGAAAAAATAGTTCCCATTTCTCCCATTCACAGCAGATTTTTATGTTATTGGTATTCTTTCTTGATGGCAGCCATTCTGAATTGGGGGAGATGGAATCATAAAGAAGTTTTAATCTGCATTCTCTTTGGGGGTAAGGACGAGAACAGTGTCTAAAGTGTTACCCCAACATTTCTATTTCTTCTTTTGAGAACCTCCTGTTTAGATCTGTAGACAGTTACATGTTTTCTTGCTGGTGTTGACTGAATTCTTTGAATATTCTCATCAATGATCTCTGAAAAGCATTGCTGCTGAAGTTTCTCTCCCACTCTGTGGGCTGCTTCATCACTGTATGAGTTTCCTTTGCTGTCCCATTTGCTGATTCTGGGTCTATTCACTTTTCTGCTGCATTTCTAATCAGGAAATCATTACCTATATTTATCTGGTGAAGCAAATGCCCCACATTTTCTTTCTTTCTCCCCACCCCCACCCCATTTGGGACACATTTTGTTACAAAATGAACAAAACACACAACTTCATGGTCAATCTAGAAGGGATGAATGGGTCAGTGGTTAAAAGCACCTACAGCTCTTCCAGAGTTCAGTTCCCAGCATCCATATTGTGTGGCTCACAATCACTTGTAACTCCAGCTCCAAGGGATCTGAGGCCCTCCTCGGGGCTCCATAGGCATCTGCACACATGTGGGAGTCTTCACAGACACACATACAGAAATAAAAATTAAAAAAGTTTCACCTGCAAATCTTGTAATCTTGTAGCATCCAATCACACTGTTCTAAAGAAATATTGGATTTTTACTGGCAACGTGCTCCAGCTATCTATTTTTGGTGACTTAGCCATGGCTTGTACTCCCTATGTCATGTAGTGGCACTCGTGAGACTCAATTGTACTCAGACTGGTTTTTCTTTCCTATTGCACCCCAAACTCACCTTCTCTCCATCTTTACACCAACCTGTCTAATACACTTTCATTTTCCTTTTTAATTTTTTTATTTGGAATTTTTGAGGCACTGTTTCCAGGCCTGGCTTACCTTCATATTTCCATCTTAGTGTGTGCTAATATTTGTTTTCCTGCACCTTGAGCTCAACTTGAAATCTTTCCTTGACTGGACTCTTTAATTTGTCAACCCCACTTCTCTGTCCACTCCAGCCACATTGAGTACTCATAGTAAACCTGAGGATTTTGTGTGTGTGAAGGTTTCATGTGGCCCAGGCTATCCTTAAACTTGGTATGTAGCTGAGGATGACTGTGAACCTCTGATCCTTATGTCCACCTTTCAGGTGCTGGATTACAGGCCCTCGGATTCTGTGGTGCTGACACCCAAGTCAGGGCTTCTTGCAGGGTACCAAGCTCCCAGTGAAGCTACTTCAGCTGCCCTAAAGTGAGTTCATTGGCTTTCATGTTCAAGTCCTGAACTCTCCTCCACCCAGGCTGAGTGAGGCTATCCTCCCTACAGTTCCCTCAGGCACTTTGCTCTTTTCCTTCTACCCTAGTTCTTACCCCATTTGCTCATGTTTCCCCTAGAGGATACTAAACTCCGGTGATGACAAACTGCGGTTTATGTCATCCTTGGATGCCATCACTTCGTAGGTGTTTGGCGTCAGCGCACCCTGGATGTGGTGAGGGAAGAATGAGGTTAGAGCAGAAGCCTAGTGTGGTAATTCAGGGATTCTGTGGCGCTCCTCCCCTTCTCCAACCTCAGATCCCACAGGGAGGACTCGTCGTGTCCCCGCCCCCTTCCCTGGGCCTCAGCAATCCTGCTGAGTCATCCCTGCTTCACAGCCCCATCAGCCCCCAGGACTCCACCTTTAACCCTGTGCTACCGGCAGAGGGCGACGCAGCCTGTGCAGCAGTGCCCTGCAGTGGTCTGCGGACCGGCAGGGGGCGACCTGGGCATCCCGTGGGCCTCAGCAGCCTCAACGTCATTAGGGCCCCGCCGTTCCGTCCTGCCCAGGGGGTCTCCGCAGGCCAAGATCCTCCAGGCCCGGTCGTAGCGCCGTCGACCTGACCAGACCCAGGAGTCCCTCGGGGGCCCCTCCCCTCTCACGGCCCAGCTCCTTCCCGGCCCGGCCCCCTCCCGCGCAAGGGCGTCTCTCTTGGGCCAATGCCGCTCCTTCCTCTCCCTCGAGGACGAATTCGTCCCGCCCCTTCCGCGCGGCTCTACTTCCGGCCGGTCAAACCTTGGCGGGCTTCTGAGGAGAGGGACGCGGGTCAGGTCGCCACGTCGCAGGTTCCACGTCTGCTCCTGCTCCCTGCCCGGGTCTCGCGACGGCGGATCCCTCGCTTTCCCGACGTCCTGTGCGGCTCGTAAAGTCGGGAAGACGCGCCGCCCCCGCCGGGTGCTGTCCGCGCCTTTCCCCGCGGAGCTGCGGTTGCTCCTAGGCCGCCACCTCCCGGCCCGCGTGGCTCCGCGGAGCAGGTGAGTGTGGGGGAGGGGATGCTGACGGGGCTCTGCCCAGGTGCTGCTGCTGGAGCTGAGGGGACAGGTCGGTGCCGGCGGGTTTTGAAAGTGTTTCTAGGTCCTTTATTCTATTCCATCGATCTGTATATGTCGTTTTGTGCCAGAACTATCCTGTTTTTATTACTGCGGTCCGAAGTGTACACCTTGAAAACACATTCTGCTAACTCCTCCCGTATTATTTTTGTTCAGATTTGCTTTGGCTTTTTTCCTTCTTTGATATTGAGTTTTAATTGCTTCTTGTCCGTTAATGAAGAATGCACTGGAATTCTCATGGGGATTGCATCGAATTTGTAGATTGGTTCTCTTCGGATGGCCAGTTTCATAAGATTAATTCTTCCAGTCTTTGAGTATGGAAGATCTCATCCTTCCGTATTTCTTAATTTCTTTCCTCGGCGTCTTAATGTTTTTAAAGTAGAATTCATTTATATCCTTTGTTATGTTTATTCTTAGGTACTTTATATTTCTTTGTGGCTTGTGTGGATAGGATTGATTACTTGATTTCTTTTTCCATAATGGGCTTACAGAAAGGCTACTGGTTTGTGTAGGTTAATCTATCGTGACACATTGTGGAAAGTGTGTGTCGGTTCTAAACGCTTTTTGTTGGAATCTTTAGTGTCTCTTAGGTACAGAATCCTGTCATCTGTAAACAGAGATACTTTAACTCCCTTTACTTTTGTGTGTTTTATTTCCTTCTCTTGTCTTATAGCTGTAGGAAATATGTCTAGCACTGTGTTGACTCGGAGAGGGGTGAGTGGACACACTTGTCTTGTTGGATGTGGACTAAATGCTTTTTACATAGCTTGCATGATTTAAAGGAACTTTCCATCCATCTCTAGCCTTTTGAAGATGTTCATCATGAAAGTGTGTTGACTTTTATTGAAGATATTTTCTGTGTATTGACATAATCATGTGATTTCTCTCTTTTAATCCATTTATATATTGTACTACATTTTTTGCTATCTTTTATGTTAATATTTCATTGAATTTCTGGAAGGAAACCTACAGTTCGTCATTATTTCATTGCCAGAGTTTGCATGTATTTTTTTTTTTTTTCCAGGAGATCACTTTGTAAATTTTTTTGTCATATTATCTTGTTTCGGCTTCCAAGTAAAACTGACCTCAGAAGAGTTGAAGTGTATACCTTCTATTTTATGGATTACTTTGAGTAGTATTGGTATTAGTTGTTTGAATTTCAAGTAGAATTTTGTAATGTGTTCTTCTGGACCTGGGCTTTTGTATCTTGGGAGACATTTTATTACTGATACAATTTCATTACTAGTTACAGATCTATTTAAATATTTTGTTTCATTTTGCTTTAAACTTGGTAGGACATATGCGTATGTGAACTCATCCATTTAATTTGGATTCTTTATTGTAATAGAAATTTTCCTCTATGTCCTTATGATTATCTGAATTTCATTAGTATCTGTTATGATGACTACTTTGTATATCAAACTTTATGAATTGAGGCTTTCTGTAACTTTCTTTTGCTGAATTTGGCTAGGGATTTTCACCTCAGGAGGGGCTCTACGCACCCCAGCAGTGTTCTTAAAGGTGCTTAATGGACATAGTGTAGCCCATTTCACAACTGCCAGGCACAGTGATCAATTCTCTGTCTCCCACTGCTGTCCTGTGAGAGACTGCATGGTTTCATAGAACAGGAAATAAGCCGTGAGCAGCCATCATACTGATATAGGAAGGGAAAGTGGCCTGCATCCTCCCCAATGCAGGGCCTAGCCCATGATGCTTTCCCTGTCTGCTCTGTCTGTCCAGTACCATTAAAGAGAATAGCATTGTTTCCTGGACACATACATATGCCGAGGCTGCAAATGTGTCCCACTGTGGAGTGTGTATGGAGTTTCCTGTGGCCTTGGCTGATGGCTTGTCTTGGTTTATCCATCTTGTTAATCTTGCCAAATGGGCCTGCTTGACTACCAGGGAAGCACATGACTAGGATTACAGTGAATCCAGACAAGCCACGGGAACCAACTTAGACAGGACCATCAGCCTGCAGACCATCCAAACCAAGGATATGCTGCTCTAAATGGATGGAGGTGGGCATTGGGTAAGTGGTGGAACTAAGTATTATAGCATCGCATTACATTAAAAAAAAAAAAGAAACGAAAAAACAACCCACAAGGGGATCATGTAATGAGTGAACATCCCTGTACTGGATGTTAATTTAACTGCAGATACCACTGGACAGGAGTAGTAAATTGGCTGTCTGTACACTGAGACTATCCCAATGTACTGGGTTCTCCCAGGGTTTATGTGGGTCTGTGGGCAGTAAGGTTGGTTGTACCTCCCAGGTGGAGGCACTGGGCATTGCCCCTGGGATGCCCATACCTAGCTGGAGGGGTTCTCGCCACACTCTATAAGCAACCACACCACTGGGATGGTGTATACTTCTGCTGGCATTGACAGAAGCATACTCTATAATGATTTATGCCTTGCTGTGTTTTTACCTGGGGGAGGGCCTATAGATATAAAAGTAGTGATAAATGCCCAGCAGCACACACTGTATGTGCACTCAGCCAGGCCTGAAAGACTGTAGCCTTTCTCATGGGTGAGACAAGTCAGTTAAAAAGACTTTTGTTGCAAAATAAAATGATCTTACATTTCCTGACAGCTGCCCGAGGGGAGGTTGTGTTGTGGTACATCCAGTGTTGTTTATATATCCTGCATAATCAGGGGAAACAAAAAACAAAAACAAGAAGCCCTAGATGTCTTGCAAAAAGTAAACTGGTTCAGACAATCGAACAGTTAACTGGAACGCCAACCCGCTGCCAGTGCATTGGTGGGCTAGCGTCTCCATTCCTAAAGTGGAGCATCCTAACTTTGGGAGCTACAGCCTGCTCATTGGTCATAGCTCTGTTTCAGTATTGTTACTGTGCCCTATGGGTCCAAGGAGTGTCCTGTGGCTCTGTTTCCACAAAGAGCCTGACGTCTAAAAGGGGTGAGCGGAGGGAGTCAAATCAAGACCAGAGGGCCAGATAAAGTTTTGCACAACATGGCAGTGGTGTGGAATGAGTTAAAATGCCCTGTACTGAATGTCCAGGGAACCAGGGATGAACACTAAACACTGCAGTCACATAACCCATTTCAAAACCAGTTTAGGGAGGGCTGGAGAGATGGCTCAGTGGTTAAGAACACTGGTTGTTCTTGCAGAAGACCCAGGTTTGAATCCTAGCACCCACATGGCAGCTAACAACAACCCATAACTCCAGTCCCAGGGGATCCGACAGCCTCTTCTGACCTCCAAGGGCATTGCAGGACGTGGGTGCACTTACCTACATGCCGGCAATACATGCATACACATAGAATAAAAATAATAAATAAATTAAAAAACAAAACAAAAACCAGTTTAGGGAAGGTCACCTTTGTGAGATTGCCTACAAGATGTCCCTGAGGCCAGGGACACATGCTCTCACGCTCATAGGGCTCTGTGGGCTAGTGAATAAATCTTGTGGTATTTCCAGCAGCTCTTCGGGATCTTATTTAATATCAAGGAGGCTCACAATTGTCCTTCCCTTGTGTGGGAACTCAGCATCCACTGCACAGTGGTCTACCAGGCTGTAAGGGCATAGCAGCCTTGTGCAATCAGTCCAGAGTTAGACTGACAGAGTGGGAGGGGTGGGGTCTCAGTGAACTCTGGCCTGTGTCAGAGGAGGAAAGGGCCAAAGACAGGAAGGTAGGAAGGTGGGAAATTCAGTGGCCTCAAAGGGGGGCTGTGACCAGGGCATGGTCAGAAGAGTTCATGACCAGGCAGGAACCAGGGAGGAGTGGGCACTGCCAGAGGAGGCAGAGGCACTGGGAATACAGGGTCTCTGGGGACAGGAAACTCAGGGATCCAGAGAAACCACATGGAGAAACTGGGTATAGAATCAGCAAATCCTCCATCCTCACAGCACCGGCATGTAAACTCTGGAGAGCAGCAGGAAAGGGCTGAAGACTTGCAGTGTTGAACTGGAGGTGGGTTCTCCTTGAAAGCTCACCAGGGTGACTGCAGAGGGTGGGAAGGAGCCAGAGGCATCACCAGGTCAGGTTTCCATGGAGCTGAACCCCTGAGGTGGGGGATGGGGCAGATTGAAGAACTTTGGGATCTGAACCAGAGACAGACCTGGGTGTTTACAGGGATTTGATCACTTTTTATGCTCACTGCAGTGAGTCACAGGGACTGACTAGATGGAGAGGTGCGAAGCTGAACACGAGGTGGGGTGGGCCAGAGGAGTGGTGTGGAAGGGGATCAGAGACAGGAGGGGAAATTTACCTGCTCCAAAGAGTCCTATGGCGCTGAATCTCTGGAGGGACAGGATTGAAGAACTTGGAAGCAGAGACAGAGTGGGAAATTGAGCAGGGATTTGATCTTTCTTTAATGCTCACTCTTGAATAAGGAACATAGGTTTCAGAATTCTGTTGCAGAAATTTGGGTATGTTGGTCTGTGCATCCCTTTTAGATCAAATGAACTAGGACTAATCCTGCTTTTCATTTATTTTATGGTTGCCAAAATATTCCCATAGAAATAATTTCATAGATACTTGAATTTATATGTTGATGTTTTCACAAAAATGGAAGCGTGACATGCAGTATTTCTATATCAAATATTTCAAATAATTTTTCCCTTTTCTGTCAGCATGGAAAACAAAACAAAAAACAAAGCTCTTCCAATTTAAATTCATCTGTGCCCTCTACCTCTTCCTCTCATCCAA